GCATGAACGAGCTCTTTGCGGTGCAGCATGAAGTGGTGCCCGATCAAGCCAAATGGCGGCTGGGACACGCCGAGAGGCACGGGTCGATCATGAAGATAATGTTGATGAAGGTGGTGACTGAGCTGCAGATCGACAACTTGAAGGACATGCAGTGTGCCTTGGCCTCGTGCTTTGCCTCTAAGAATCGGGTGGTGGGCAAACATGGAGTCGCTCCACTGCAAGCCGTGACCGGAAGGAACACCCCACTGCCAGGTTCGTTGATGGCCCAGCTGACCAGTGGGAAGGTGAAGTTTAAGCTCAATGAGGCCATCACTCAGGAGGAGGCCATTCGTCGAGCAGATCGGATCAGAGCCGCCTCCATTGAAGCTTGCCATTGGATCGATGCCCATGAAGGACTTCGCCGAGCCTTAGCAGCGCGGTCCAGACCACCTCACCTGGAACTACTTCGAGAAGGGACTGCCGTGTATGTGTACGATCCTCCGGCAAATCGACGAGGGCTTGCACGCCGTCTGCAGGACAACGTATCCTGGTCAGGACCAGCCATTGTGGTGTGCGTGGAGCGGGAAGGGACAACTCCCAAGAAGGTGGTGAGGCTCCGGTCCCGGGTGAAGGCCTACCCGCTCGAGAAGATCCGACTGGCCACGGCAGATGAGATGGTCAGTGCAGACTTCATCGTCGGCGCTTTGAAGGATTTGGGGGGCGAGTTGAACGATGGTAGACTCCAGGTGGAGGACCTGAAGAAGGACGACCCGAAGGAGGAGGAAGCCGCAGCAGAGCCCCCGGCGGTCTCCGTTGAGGCAGAGGTGGAGAAGAAGAGGGAGCTCCTGCATGATGTGCCACAGGCGCTCGGGAAGGATGAACGGGACGAACCACATCTCCTCCCGTTCAAGAAGAAGCAGAAGCTGTTTGAACAACTGGCCAAGGATCTGGGGGCCCCGTCAGCTATGCAGGAGGCAGCCGTGCGGGATCGCCTGGAGAATGCCTACGGCCAGTTGAAAAAGGTGCGGAAGGATTGGAAGAAGGAGCACAAGGAGAAGGAGCGGCGAGCAGCACGAGGTTCCACAGCGGCCAGCTCAGCGAGGGGCACCTCTGCCCCGCCCGCACGAGGAGCCTTGGTGGTTGAGGTCGAGCAGAGGAGCCGTGGAGCACCTTTTGGTCAGAAGTGGAGGCTCAGCAAAATCTGTGGGAGGCGGATGTTGAGGAGAACCACTACCTCAAGAATGTGATCGACCGCTCGGAGGAGTATGCCTCGGGGGACGTCAAGGCCGTGTTGGAGGCGCAGCTGGTGACTGGCAAGCTGAGGGTGGAGTACCAATGGAAGCAGCTGTCAGCTGCGTGGCAAGAGGCCTATGAGAAGCCCTTGGTCAAGGCAGTGCAGGTGTACTTTGACCACGACGCCATTGAGGGAGTTCCCAAGGATGCCATCGTAGATCCCCGGAAGGTGCTGAGCTCTCGCTTCGTGCTGACGAATAAGGGAGGCGAGACTCTGGAGAAGGCAGAGCTCAAGGCTCGATGGATCCGGGGGGGTCACAAGGACATGGAGGCCGGCAGGTATCCCACCTTGGCACCGACGGCCAGCCTGTTGGGGCACAACATCCTGAACATGGTGGCGGTTCAGATGGGCTGGGTGGTGCACTACGAGGATGTGAGCGCGGCCTTCCTTCAGGGCCAAAAGCTGCCGGCGGAGCGAGAGGTCTACGTGAAGCTGCCGACGGGCTACCCCTATGTCGTGACGGACTACATCAAGGAGCAGGTGCCGGAATGACCTGCTCAGGTTGCTCAAGGGAGGCTTCGGGTTGGCAGAATCTCCAAGACTATGGTACCTGGAGTACAAGGCCACGTTGAAGCAGATCAAGCTGAACGAGCTGCAGCTGATCCCTGGGATGTTCGTTGCCTTCCACCCGGATGGTCGCTTGAGAGCAGTGGTCACCATCCATGTGGACGACACTCGCTATGCGGGGGATGAGACCGCCCAAGAAATTTGGGATGCCTTGCATGAGCGTCTGAAGTTTGGTCAGCATCGTTTGGCTACCGATGGCTGGCAAAAGTTCTGTGGGCGCTACGAGAAGCAGGACCCGAAGACCCTGGAGTTCCTCTACAGCATGGAGAATTACGTGGAGAAGATTCCGGACATTGAGAAGGGAGAGTGGGCTCCAGAACGGGGGCCGTTGAGTGAAAAGGAACGCACCAAGATCGGCTCGATCCTCGGGCAGATCAATTGGACCGCCCGGCAAGGAAGGTATGACCTTTCCTATGGGGTCTCCCACTGTCAACAGTTGGCCGGCGCCGGGAGAAGAGAAGCAATGGAGTGGACTGCAAAGCTGGTGGGGCGCGCCAAGAAGGAGGTCATCGTGAAGGTGCCACGTTTGGGCTGCGACCTGAGAGACATGATTGTGGTGTCGGCCAGTGATGCAGCCTTTGCAGCTCAGCCAAAAGGGCACTCGCAGGGGGGTCTGACATGCATGGTGGCCCACCCGGATGTCTTGGAGAAGAGCGCCCCCGTATGCCTACTGGAGGCGCAAAGCATGAAGATCCAGAGGGTCGTGAGGTGCAGCATGAGTGCCGAACTGTCCATGGCCGCTGAGAGCTTTGAGCATGGGGACTTCATCCGGGCGGCCTTGGCGGAGGTGATCTTCTCCGACTTCAAGCTGAAGTCATGGAAGTGGTATGCAAGCCACTGGAAGCACTACCTGGTGATCGATGCGAAAACCGGGTATGATGTGCTGGCCTCAGAGGCCCAAACCTCGGATCGAAAGATCCTCATCGACGCGGCGGTCCTACGCCAGGCCTTGGTGGAAGAGGGCTCGGGCAACTTCATCAGGTGGATGCCCGGAAAAGAGATGGTCAGTGATGGCCTCACCAAATGGAGCGACAACGGTGTCCTGCTACAAGTGATGCAGGAAGGGCGATGGTGCTTGGTGGACACTGAGGAGGCACAAGCCCTTCGGAAGGAGGCAGCTGACCGCAAAAGGCGGTGCGTAGCCAAGGCTCGTGAGCTCCAGAGGGGGTAAGTGTGGAACCACCCCCGCTCACGGCCTAGCCACAGGGGCTCGAGGGAAGAAAAGGTAGGGCGCTCCCACTTTTGAGTATAACTATAAGAGTGTGTATTCCTTTTGTTTGACAGGTTTTGTGTTGAGTTTTGTGAGACTGCCTGCACCACATTTGAAGAACTACGGAACTCTTGCCGCCAAACAGTTCCGAACGCGCCTCCGAAGGGAAGCGTTCGAGGCCAGGAAAGCACCACCAGCGGCGCACGGGGACAGCACGGAAGAGCTGCTGTGCGGTTCGCCGAGCCGCAAGGCCTTTTGGGCGTGGCGGTGTTTGCACGTGAACTCACCCAAAGGAGTGGTGTTCTCCGCAGGTTGAGCCTGTGCACGGTGACTTTCAGCGACATGTTTTCAAGGGCCTCAATGGAGTACCATGCATTGGAAGAGAAGAGCAGACGTCTTGAATGTAATCCTAGTCGTCGTGGTATGTCATGGTATGTCTATTGTGTGTTATTGAAATGTTCTTTGATGTCGTGCTTTTTCCAAATATCTTGTTGCACTGGTGGTGAACCGAAACGCGCGAGGCACTTATTGTGCGATGGTGTGCGGTCATGGATGAATTCCAACTTTAATGAAGTGTATGTTGACCTGCCCAAGCGACCTGCATGTAGGCAAATGTGACATGCATGGAGTGTCCGGGTGTTGCACTGGTCATCACAAAGCATCAAAAAAGATCGATTCCCCAACAGGTGCAATGTGTTTGTTTCACAGCCGACTGAGTTGATGAACTTCGCACAGTTTCTGGAGGGGCATGCGACTCTTGAAGTGTTCTTATCCAACGGAAAATATGGTCGAACGAGAGTTCACAGGACACAGAGCTCCCAATCGAAAGCAAATAGGGTGGACTTGAAGCACATGGGTGCTTCAGCAAATATCTTCGACATGAGGTTGAAGCTTTCTCTTGGCCGCCCTTCGTGTCGGATGCCAAAAGAGGGCGGTGCGCTAGCTCGGTGTGGCGGTGGAGCGGTCCGGTGGTGGTTGATGTGTGTCTCTTGTCTGGACGAAGGACTTTTGGGTCTCAAGTGAGCAGCATCACAGGACCCGACCTCCCAATGGGTCGAGTCGAGCGAGAGATGCAGGACGCATAGGCGTACGGACGCATACTTCCACACGCACAAGCCCCGGTTGGAGGTGGTTGGAGGGTTACTCAAGTCCAGACGAGGAAGCTTTTGGGGGGGATCAGTGAGACGCAGTCAGTACGCTTGTCATTGGGCCACCCGGGCTCCAGTCGTACCTTCTGAGGCGTTTTGGTGGGTTTGGAGGGTCCAGTCATACCTTCTGAGGGTCCTGTATGACTGGAGCCCCAGGGCAAGATGAATAGCCTCATCGTTTCACAGTTCTCGAGCCCTGAGAACGCCCCTGAAACCGCTGTCGGGTTGCTGTGCGTGTTTTCACATGTTCTCACGAACCTCGATGCTGTTGGGATCACCTCAGGGTTAGATCCACCCCGCCAGACCTTGAAACCCATACCCTGGGTTTGCCCCCATGTTCCCGTATGGAAACGTCCTCCTCCCGACAATCCCCTCTGTCATCCACCCGCAACAGCAGACACGAACGTGCAAAAAAGGAAGCACCGCCGGTCTCAGACCTCGCGCGCGTGGGTGGGGTGGCCGCCCAAAACGCGTGGTCGCCACTGTTGGGTGGCCGCCCACCGTGGGCCTTGGCGAAGAAACCGATACGGGGAAGCATCCAATGGCCAGTTGTGAGGTCAGAGTCTGAGGGTCAAAAGCTTAGCAAAACGGATTGGGTCCAATGAGCCTCTGGGCTATGCCTGAAATCCAACAATTGACCTCCCCTGCATGACATTCCCCCACAAATGGGCCTGAGTAGGAGTCATACTGTCATACTAGTACGTATGCAGTCCCAGACACTTTGTCTTTCTGGCTTCACCGAAAACAAGCTAGCCATTCGTGAAGCCAGAAGCCCTGCTTCGCAGAAGCCACGCAGAAGCAGGCTCGGCTGGTGCCGGGGGATGAGCTGCGCTTGCGCTTGAACTCCTCGGCCTACGCGAACTTGGCCAACGCCGATGCCCGGAGTGCCCAGCGGGGTCCCGTTCGACGCGCTGAGCCCGAATGAGCCGGACGGGGAGGCGCCGAGCCCGGCGCGGACGGGACGTGGTTCTTTGTAAGGCACGCAGAAGAGAACGAGTTTGTGTTTGTTTGTTTGTTTGTTTGTTTGTTTGTATGTTTGCGTTTGTTTGTCCTGTTTCGGTGTGGTCTTCGATGAGGAAAGTGTCTAAGAAAGGACCATGAAGTCTGTTCATCTTCCGTCGAGACTCGTCACGTCTCCAAGATTGATCACAGAATGCACTTGTTTCATGTTCAATTCATATCAAAGTTACTGTAAAAGATTTCGATTGACCCAGATCAGAACTATTGCACATTGACCCATCTCGACCCTGAACATTCACATCATGTGTTCAGTTCCCAGATCATTGACCCCCTTTTTTCGGCCTTTTGGGGAATCACACCTCTCTCCGACCTTTCAGCTGTCAGCTGCTCCGATCCGATCTGATCTCCGAACGCGTAGCCGGCGTTTTCACGGCCGAGGAGACGGGTTGGAATGCTGTGGGACATGTCTCCAAAATCACCGCGAACGAAGAGGTCTGGGGGAGAGGAGGAGGTTGGTTTCGAGGTCAAGAGGTGGAACCAGCTGGATAAAAGCCAGTCAAGAAGTCCTTTTATCTTGTGTAACCATTATTTGGACTTGGGGATCCACAGAAATTACATCAAATTACATCAAATTACTATATACCTGTTTTGCAGGGAAAGTGACGTGAAGTGGTCAGATGCTTTTATGTGCTGGATTGCCGTTCTGCCCCCTCCCGGTTTCGCACCGCCCGGTGTTTATTTGACTCAAGACCGGCTGCAAAAGAACTTCTTGTCGGTGTCTTTATGCCAAAGGGGCGTTTCTTTGATTAAACATTGATAGAACCCCCCCCAAAAGCTGGGCAGAGGTTGTGCTGTTGTGGTGCTTCGAAAGCACACACTTGTTCGCACCTCCTTTCCCGCGAAACAAACTTATACAAGCATAGACCCCAAACAGCTTCAAAACGATTCGTTTAGACCAATATTAGTCAAAAATTGATTTCTTGGTACGCCCTACCTTCACCCCAAGAGCAAACTGCTCCATCAATGAATTTTTGTCGGCATTGACATCGCTATTTGTTCGGCCACACTCCTCTCCAGTAAACCGGTCCACAGAGACTAGCCACAGAGTTCAGGGGCGCGGCCAAGACAAGGACAAGAGGAGGACAAGACCCGGACACAGAGCCGGGCCACAGAGCCCAGCCACAGAGTTCAGGGGCGCGGCCAAGACAAGGACAAGAGGAGGACAAGAAGAGGACAAGGCCCAGCCACAGAGCCCAGCCACAGAGGACAAGAGGAGGACAAGGCCTGGACACAGAGCCCAGCCACAGAGCCCAGCCAGAGAGGACAAGAGGAGGACAAGACCTGGACACAGAGCCCAGCCACAGAGTCGGCCAGTGAGTGTGCCAGCCCTTTTTTATTTTCTAAGATAGAACCCCAACAGTGAACTGCTTGGGGAAAAAAGAGAGACATCAAACCCAGCACCCAGAAGCCAATGTTTTTGTATCGTGAAGTTTCCTTGCGGCCGCCCTCAAGACTTTTTATCATCGTTAAGTCCCAGAAAGTACTTTTACTCAAGATGAAAAGACACTGAACATGAAGTGCTGTAGGTGAGTTCTTTGCTCTCAAGCCAGCAGGAAGGGTTGCTGTTTTCTCCAGACGAAGTCCGCAATCGTGTAAAGCAAACGAGACATTCTGGAGTTACATCACAACATTAAATTCATTCGTGGACTTAAGTTATACATACAGATTCAAATTCAATCCAATTCAGTCATCTATTAGTCAAACAAATGGTTTTCCTACCAGACTCAGCGGGGGAATTTCCACTCATCCAGCGGTGTCCACGGCAAGGGCCAAGGGGGGTCTCCCAGCTTGCCTTATTCAAAAAGTTCACCCATATTTGTCCGTTCGCCTTCAAAAGACCATTCAATTAATGGTAACGACCTGGTTTGGTAGTGTAAAATGCAACAGTAAAACCATGTCAAACATTTTACTATAGTAAACCAATGCAAAACAACGATTATTGGAATCCGCCTATAGGGCATAGCACTTTAATGACATATATGCCAGTCCCACGCAGCTTGTGACCTGGGTTGGACCGAGACCGCAGTCTCTCCGCTTCGTCGGATTCCTCCGTGCCGGACGAACTGGGCAGGTCGCCTTGGAACTCCGTGGGCCTCAACAGGCGGCCGACCGACGCACGCAGACCGACGCACCGCCGAGATGGACGGTTTGGAACCGGGCGTGGTTCGCGCCTTGATGGGGGGGGATCGCAGAGATTTCTGGTAAGGATGACATGGTAAATTCTCGATCTTCCAACAGAAAGCCATGCTTCCCCAGCCGAGAAAGCAGCCCCAAACACTGAGTGTGTGATGCCCCCCAAGACTCAAGTGCCGGAAATGCAAAACCTGTTTCTGGTTGTTATATGTTGTTTTGTTTCCTGGGTAATGTGTTGATGAATCGAAGTGTTTCAAACCCATTCAACCGACCTTGGAGATGTGAACGACCGGTTCAGGGGGTTTTGAATTGGAGACCAAAACGCCGGTAACAGAGATCATCAGTCTTGGCCGCCAACTTGTTGCGTCGAAAAAAGATCCAGCGGTCAGACCAACTCCTGAACCAGGGCCTCATTGGGAGACTTGGTGGACATCTAAGTCGAGCTGATTCAAGAAAAGTCGCACCCCTGTGTTCATCAACAGCAATTTCGGGTTGGGTGGCGGCCTGGCGGAGACTTTGGCTACAATCTATAAGGGTGAACATTTCTCCTCTTCGAAGCAAAATTGCAAAAGTTCCATACCTGGTGGTGCGCCTCAGTGGTTGCATAGTATACTTTGCATTGAAAACTGTGCCACTGTGCTGCTTATCTCACTTGCTAATTGGGTTCATCTCTCTGACAACCAGTCTCATTGTGTTTGAGTATGGATGTCACAAACCGACATGCCCTTCACATGACCCATAAAACCCAGCTAAACCGGGCAAACTGTGCCAACTATGAAAGACATGTAAGAGTTAAGAGATATTAAGTAATCATTTACCAAGTGGATAGACCTTCAAACCGCAAACCCGAACTCCCAGCAGATTAACTACAGTTAGACTGTTTGCTGTTCATGTTCCTAGGGGGCGGGCTTTTGCGTTCTAAATCCATGCTTGAACAGCTCCAAATAACAGTGGCTACCTCGTTGGTGAGCTTGCACTTATATAGGTTCCTTGGAGGCCATCGCTATAGTAGGTTAGAATCGTGCTCTCGCGCGCAGAGACTCGGGGCACCACATAGGGGCACGACCTGATGCGGGCCGAGACCCGACCCGTTTCAGGTGGGTCCATGGGACATCAACCACGGCTTCCAAGTGGAGTTCGTCACTGCACTCAGATGGAGTTCCAATCGGGTTTGGGCGCCACCAGCGGTCGGTCCGTGCTTGGGTCGGTCTCTTGGATACCACCCACAGCCAAATGGCTGGGATTGGACTGGCTTGGACCGCTTGGAGGACCAAGTCCGAGAAGAAGGAAGTCTTAGAGAAGCTCCTTGCAGATCCACCCCTTTGCAAATGAATGTTTAGCGATCAATCCCCTTTACTTACTATGATTCCGTTCTTTGAAATCTCTTTGGCAGTGCATAAGAACCCCACGGTACCTGGTCAGGCCCTGGTCGGGCCCCTTTCGTGGCGTCGTCCTCGCTCGGAAGTCGACCTCCGAGGTTTGGAAGTCGACCTCCTTCGATCGGATGCAAGCAGCTATGCGGACCTTCGCGGTGGATGATACCTCTGCAAGGGCACTCAGGTGACCGGTCGATGCCCCCGTCTTCAGGAGGTGTTTTTTCGACGTTTTTAGACCGACACCGTGAGTGCACCACTCACGGCGCCACCTCGATCCTCCAAGCTTGCACCCCGGCATGGAACTGACGGTACATATTTTCGGTACTTCTTTTCGGGGGCCAATAGATCGGGTTGGCTCTTGTATGCATAAATGAATTGGTATGAATTTCATGAAATAGTAATGCGTGTACTGGGTGGCACGGTTTTCGCAGGATTTTGGGCGGCCAAGAGAATGTGACATACAGTCTCAATAGCTTTCATGAGTGTGAACGATGTTGATGTCCTTGAGGGCTCCAACGTTTTATGTTCATTCTGACATTCTTCATTTATTCTTAGATGTGGCTCAGGAATGTTCAGGAGTGGTAAGCATCAATAGTTCCTACCATGCTGATGCTTAGGAATGACCGACATCCCACTTGGCAAACATTCCTTTCCGGAATCGAACTATATAGGAACGGTAAACAACACAAACCATGGAGCAGCCTGAAGTCCACATCACTATATGGGAATTGGTTTTATTTTAGCCATCGGAGTCGTTCAAAGAAAACACATGTGTATATATATATATACAGTACGCAGTATGCGTGGGGGAGCTTGTTTACAGCCTCTAATCTTCTTTTCGGGGGTGAAGAGTGGCCGTCCCAGGACCGTTTGGGGATGAAAGTGAAAGGAAGGAAACCCTTTAGCTGGAGAGCATGGAATTTTCATGCCAAGAAACCACTGGTCTTGTTGATCGGTCGAGGCTTGGGCCTTGCCCTATGGCACTATGGGTCACATCTTCACTGAGGGAATTCTTCCCCGGTTCCGAACCAGCAAGAGGAAGCCGCAAGACATCCGCCGATGAATATATGATCAGATATTGCGAACGTCGACCATGGTTGATTGCTTTGGCAACTTCAGTTCCCAAGTATTTTACACAGACTGCCGCTAGGCCGAACATTTATCACTTAGAGATTCATGTAGTCTACAGTTCATTGCTTTATAGACGCTTTTGGACATGCTTGGCAACGATCTTGTACAACTGATCGATGTTACATTCAGGCTTCCGACGGCTTCGCCCGCCGGCCGCGCACAAAACCCGCGGCAGCGCTCGCGACTGGAACAGCTCCGGCGCGGCCAGTGGAACCCGAGGTGTCCGGATATCTGTATCACAAACTCCTGGGTCGGGCGGCTCAGGGACGGAGTCGGCCGGATGTTGAGAACCACCGGTTGGCAGTCCAAACATCTGTGCGGGAGTCGGACGGCTCGGCGGGCAAAGCATGTGGTTGATGGATGTGTTCCTAAAACATCCAAATACACTCCCTGGAATTCTCTTTATGTGGATGTCATGGCCCAGGTTGTTTTCTACTTCTATGACCTTCTATGATAATTCCAGGGAGTGTAGAAGCAATTGGGTCGATGTGGCCCTGATGCAACCAGGATCATGATTCTTGTTGGCATAGTAGAACCAGCACATGAAAATACCTGTTTAAAATGGCCCAAGACACATTCCCAAAACAAATTGCAGGTATATACCTCAATACTAGCTGTTCTGGGTCGATCGAGGCTCCCCATGCGGCAGAACAGCTCATTGTGGCACCACACGGGGCGAGGCTCTTCACGAGATGTAGCTGTACAAAGATTTTCGGTAGGGCTCCAACCAGATCCTCAGAAGGTGCTCAGAAGGCTGTTGGACCCCCGCTGGCACCCACCCCAACCATCTTCGAAACGGAGGTGGGCCAGGAGCCCAAACGGGTTTGTGTATGATGCGTCAAAGCCTTTGCGGAGTCTTCCTTCATTGAAAGCATGTGGTACTCAGACCGTGACTGGTAGGCGGAGTCATTCGTGTGTACTCAATGATCCGGCCTCAAAACCCGGTCCCAACCAGAAACACAATGAAAGACCATGTTCTTACTGAGAGTCTTCTTACCCTAAGACGAGAAATCACCGTATCACTACTTATAGTTCCAGCTTGTTGACCTCACTCGATCCCTGGAGTTCGGGTCTTTGGAGTTGTCCATCGACTCACTCGATCTCCAGGCCACGATGTGGAGCCTCAGACGATCCGTCCCTTCGACACAGGAGGGAGTGGCAGATGAGGGAGACGTCCCTTTTGGTCACGTGCAGGAAAGCCTGCATCCTCCAACACCTTGGAAATCACCATGTATTATATTATAACATAACCGTATAAATAGTAGGTCTTCCTACAGTGCGCTATAGTGCGTTATAGTAGCTGCAGTAGTAGGTGTAGACGGCAGTGGAATGTCGACGGCGCTAGAATGCCATGAAGCAGGATGGTTGTGCATGAAAGGACGGAACTGCACGAGATCAGGAGCAGCAGCTCAACAGCAGTAGCAGTTGTAGTGGCGGCGGTAGCAGCGGCAGCAGCAGTTGTTGTATTTGTCGTCGTCGTAGTTGCGCCCTGGCCGCAAGAGTGTCATCCAAGTGTGTCTTACAACAGTGTCCTACAAGGGTCTTCACAAATCAACCTCTTGCGAACAGAGTCTTTTGTTGCGTAGTTGGTATCAGCGTCCATGAAATCACTGATTGCTATTTGCGGATCTTGCTGAGAGAGCTCACCAGCTCAGATTTTGGAACTTTACTTGAAGATACTTGAAGCATCCGCCAAGAGAACATCAATTATGGATGAAAGGTTCGGTGATCATCACCCTCGTCATGTCCACTGTGCAACTGGAGAAAGGTGCGTCCAAGAATGTTGTGGAATGCTGTCCCGACCTTCATATCGGCGCTGGCAGGAGAGTAATGCTTGAACCTAGTAGCAGAAGAACGCAAGCGCTTTCCTGACCAGCTTGTTGACACTGTCCACATCACGCACCAGTGAATGATAATATCACTCTTTGTCATTCTGTTGACTTGGCGTGCCATCAAGTTGCGCCTAGGAAGGCTGCCTTTCAGCGCCAAGCTGGTGGAGGGGCTGGAGCTCTGCCAGGGCAAGCCGCCCTTCCCACTTGGTTGGGCGAAGGTGGTCTTCACAGGGCAGACCAGCTTAGCTTCTACACTTCCAGGTTCACAAAGTGCTGCGCCTGCCACGAAATCTGCACTGGTGGTTGTTGTGGATGGTCATGGTAGTGGTGGTGCTGATGGTAGTGAGGTGGTGATGATCATATTGATGGTGGTGATGATCATGTTGATGGTGGTGATGATAGTGGTTGTGATGGTGGTGGTGAAGCGTGATGGTGGTGATGGTGGTGGCGATGACAATATTGATGGTGGTGATGGTGATGTTGGTTATGGAGATGGTGGTGATGGTCTAAGAGATCCAGACATGTAGACGTCTTGAGACTAGGAGGTCTGGAGATCTAGATGTGTAGGGTACCAGAAGCCTCCATGTTCAAGGTCCACTTAAAGTCTGAGGCGGTCAACCTCATGTCGGAGGAAGCTGCCCTCGAATGGCAAGCTGGACTAGTATTTTGTAGACAACTCAAGCAGCAATTATTTTCAACGTCATGTTGTAGAGAGGCGTTTTTTAGGGTGCCGGGTGCCCCCATGTCAGGCATTTTAGAGGCCTAGGTCCAAGAGGTCTTACAGATAGATGTCTGGAAGTCTTGAGAGCCCAGACAGTACAGCGCCTGCCACGAAATCTGCACTTCAAGGTTGACAAAGTGCTATGCCTGCCAGGAAACCTGCACTTCAAGGTCCCCAAAGTGCCGCGCTTGCTACGAAATTTGCACTTCAAGGTTCATAAAGCGCTGCGCCTGTCACGAAATCTGCACCTCGAGGTCCACAAAGTACTGCGCTTGCCACGAAGTCTGCACAGCCCTTGCCTTAACGTTCCGCATCCCATCCACTGACTGGAGTGATGTCCAAAGCGGTCTGCGCAGCATGCTCCGTGCAATCGTTTCCAGGGAAGCTTCTTTTTTGGCGTCATCAGGACAAAAGGAATATTCAAAGCAGATTTTGGGCTTATGCTCTTCAAGGTTCGGCTGCTATGCCATCGCGGCCACGCTGCTGTGGTATGGTGCTCGCCATCCAAGGTATCGCCAAGGTGCTTTGGAACTGTCTTTGTTGACTCTGCAAGCATTGAGACCCTTCTTTCCCAAGAAAGTGGAGAAACAAAGAGAGAGGTGGCGTGAAATTGGCTGGCGCCCTTTGCCACCGGAGTTGCGAAATTTCCTGACAACGACATTCGGTGAGCGCATCCAGCTCTATTTTTCAGGCACCGGACCCGATTATATCAATTTGTTGACGGAAACAAAAGCCGTCCAAGTCCGCGCGAACCAGGAGGCGGAGTCATCATCATCGACGTCAACACCGCAGGGACTGACTGCTGAGCAGGCCCTTGTGTTGTTGAAAAAAGCCCGAGAAGGGCGAGGCCACTGACACAATGACGACTTTGTGCCGGAAAACAAAAAAACAAAACGATTCAGCGAAACGACCGTAGGGATCAGATGAGGGGAGGTCGGCTACGATGGTTTTTGGATGTTTGGAGATTATATTTGATCCTGGAAACATTGAAAAGATCTGAAGACAGCAACCGTTTTGAAAGCTTTTGGACACAAGCAAACACCTGTGGAGTATTTATCCCGCCCGCGCGGTTCTTTTTAGACCGTTTTCGGGCTGCGCAGGGTTTCTTTTCCGCCTGTCTGGGGCGTAAGGGGAACTATGTGAGGGTAGTCGACAAAGAGGCAGAAACGACCTTTTGGGTCATGCGTGCCCTACCCACAGATTGCGAAGCGCCAGCGTGCGCCACCGTTTGCGAGAGCATGGCACGGGCACTAATTCGGATGCTGCTTCTGGGTGGAAAAGATTTAGACGCTGCGTTGGAACAGAGCAACGTCCTGTCCGAGGCAGGTGTCCACACAGAACAGCTGCAGCTACTCTTCGAGCTGCATTGCATCGTTCTGCAAGGGGTGCTGCCGGCCCGCTACTTTAAAAGATGCTATGGGCGTGGGCACGCAACCCGTAGGGTTTGCACTTGCGGTACCTTTGTACAACGAGGAAATTGCCCGCATGTCTAAAAAGAGAGAGAGACCCGTTTTCGGCGTCGGTGTTTTTTTTTGCATTCTGTTCCGCGAAGACAAAAAACCTATAATGAATCCAGTTTGTTCTCTCTATCTTAATCGCCTTCTTCTTTTTCTTCTTCTTCTTCTTCTTCTTCTTCTCTTTGCCCTCCCTCCCCTCAAGGTGCGCCCCTGGATGCTTGTGTCATAGCTGGGGGCACCGTCCTCTCCCCTAACCTCGCCTGCCTCTATAATGTGTTTTTTTTAAATGATGGGGCCCCACTTCCGACGCCAAACGCGCTTGTGTCGCTATGTCGCGGTTCCTGGTGGTGCCGTGTGTGCTGCCCACAAGCCAAAGACACCACTGGACCTGAACCGGAGCCCATTTTGTTGACATAGGCCACGACATGAACCTTGAACGAACTCACATGGACGTGGAAACTCTGGAAGACGATTTGGGCACCCTTGCGTGGTCCAGGTTCTTGACCCCTTTGGAGCCACTCCAGTGTTGATGAATATGAATACCCTGTCTCCAACAAAAATAGACGTGGACAAACCTGTGTTTGTAGAGGAAACTCACTTTCCTGGAACATTTGCCCAACTGCCCTGATGGAGAGAGAGAGAGAGTTCTTTATCTGGAGCCCCAATGGGAGTGACTCTTTGACGAGCCCTTTGTTTCGCACAAGTTGCGAAAAATGATCCTCGAACGGAGCGTTGATCACCGAGTCCGAAAGCCGGACTGCATTCTTCCAAGAAGATGCTGTACTATGTCGAATAATTGTTATTGATTTGTTGTGTCGGCGCGTGAGACAATGAGTAGCCAAAGTAGTTTGAGCAAACAAGTGCGCAAAGAGCACCCTTAACAACCAAAGAAAAGTTAATTAAAACAACTTCTTCAACGCGCAATAAATGGTCCCGAAACCACCCGGCCATCTACGCCCGGCTGACCAAGTAGTTAGTAAGTAGTAAGTAGTAGGTAGTAAGTGGTAAGTAGGAAGTAGCCACTAGCAAGTAGCGAATAGTAAGTAGTAGTAGTAGTAGTAGTAGTAGTAGCAGCAGCAGCAGCAGGAGTAGTAGTAGTAGTAGTAGTAGTAGTAGTAAGTATTAAGTAGTAGTGATAAGTAGTAGTAATAAGTAGTAAGGAGTAGTAGTAAGTAGTATGCTGATGCACCACTACGACAACAACAACAAGTAGTAGTAGCAGCAGTAGTAGTAGTAGCAGTAGTAGCAGGAGTAGGAGTAGGAGGCAGAGTAGGAGTAGTAGTAGTTGTTGTTGTTGTTGGTGGTGGTGGTGGTTTGTTGTTGGTTGTTTATTTATTTTGCGTGCCTTCTCTGGAGTGCACGGGAAACTGGCCAGATTTTCTCCAGGTGGACATTAGACACTAAATGTTGCCAAGAAGTGAAGAAGGCTGCTTCCCCGAGACAAAAAGATGGGTTTTTATTTCCAGTGGCTTAGCACGCGTTTGGACAAAGAGAGCAATTGCCACTTGCCATGTCGACATTGATAGAGAGCAGGCAAATGTCCGGCCAAGTCAGAAGCCAAACTTTCCGAGTTGCGAACCATCGAACTCACAGTCCTTGGGAGGGGATACAACAATTCCGTTGGTCACCACCGTTGGTCAGCACGGTTTATGTTTATTGCTGTAGCCTATTGATTCCTGTCGTGAATCCAAAATACACGAACACAACTTTCCTCCCTGGTTCAAGACATGTCGAGCTACTTGCAATGATTCGTGTTGGAACGTGATATGCTCTTAGTAGGGGTGCTGTTACCCATCATGCGCCCGTCGTGTCTCCTGCTCAGTGTTCACCACTGTAGACCCGTATAGAATCGTATAGATGACACAGGATTTCCCCTTTGACAGAGCCAAAATGAACCAACATTTTTCGTGGATGTGGTGTTTCTTCTATAAAATCCCGCTTTGGGCCGGGGGATTGTACAATCCGGTGTCTTCAAACGCAAACAATTGCATAGAACTATCTATCGCAACTGGGCGATTTCGCCGAGCTGACTGGATTTGTCCAGAAAATACTTGAATCCCTCATATCTTGGTTCCTTTGCGTTACAAACTGGCATACCCTGACTCTTGAAAGAGAATCAAACAGTGGTTACAGGTTTTGGACTTGTTTTTTACTTGCAGCACATTCCGACATCCCTTTCTACCTTTCTACGCTTCATTACGGGCACGGCACAGGGGGTCGCGTTTGTTTCTTTGGACCAGATCCGTGTCGCACTGCGTAACCGCCGAACGACAGCGGAAATGGCTCAGGTGCCAATGTGCCGAAACACTTCACTGCGCCCAATCTTCCACAGTTGAACCACTCCCAGGCGCCCAATACCGTCGAACCATCGCGCGCCATGTCGGCGACCTCGCGCGAGTTGAGCGAAGGCCCAGCAGAAGTGTGGCGCCAGTGCGATCTCGTCGCTCGTGGGACGTTTGTCGCTCGATTTGGAAGAGGGCGACCAACGCGTGCTCGGGTCAAGTCTGCTGAGCGGTCCTTTGGGCAATGCGACAAGGTCCACCACAAGAGAGATGGAGTTCACCCGGTCTTTGCAGACTCATACGAGAATGGGACGTATTTTTTCTCCTGCCGCGACCTTCCACGTTCGTTCTTGTTTGATTTGGGGGATGGATAAAGCCGCTTTGTAGGGTTGCGTCAGTTTGTGCTCACGTTTCATCATTCCCTCCGTTGTTTGCGTTGTCGTCAAAACGGGGACCGGCGTAAAACCAGCAAGCTCCAACTTTTCGGTCATGACACGTTTCGCCTGAAGACCTGAGTATGTATGGAAATCTGGAGACGCCGCAGCCAGATCCCTAGGAAGAAGAGTTTTAAACACTTTTAAACCAGCGCATACCATCAAATTCCTTTGGGCGTCAGGGTTTCACTCACACACAAACCTTTGTGTTCCCTCAAAGCAGTGATCAGAGAAAACTAAGAGGACAGGCTAAATCAGTCATGTTTGTCTTGCGACGCGTCCCTGAACCCTCATATGGAGGGGTCCCGGGTCTCAGCAGAGACCCGACTGCTTTTCACGGAAAGCTCTGGGTGAGTCTCCTCGGGGTGAGTCGCCACGTGGGAGGAGCATCCGCCCGAAATCGCCCTGTGGCAGGTCTTCGCTGTGCGGAAAGCACTGTCCAACCCCTTATGCCTCATCCAGGGGCCTCCAGGCCAGGGACTTTGGGGCATCGGTCGCATGAGGGAGAAGGCGGTCGGGAGACTTGCAGGTACATCGGTCGCAAATGGATGTACCTTTGTTGATCAAAATCCGAATACGAAACCGATGGTGATCTACACTTCCATGATGATTCCAGGGAGTGTATAGCTAGGGATTATTTTCACACAAAAAAGATCTGAACTTCAAAGGGATGTGGTTTTTCTGCCAATCATGGTCCAAGACAGCCAATTCCACCGATTCTGTTGGTGGACTTTCTGGTCGGTCAGAGAAGTTTTTTGAGATCTCTTACCGATTTGGACGATTACAACAGGTGGTGGCAGACCTGGATTTGAAAACCGAACAGGTGTTTAACTTCCCATTTTCCGGCTTTAGAGATTCGGAGCATGCATTTCTGTTACATGTCGGAACATGCCCGTTCATTCGACTCTTCTTCAAGAGTGGCGAACGCCCACGCTTTTTTGTTTCCCAAGCCCTGGCGGTGGTGGTCCATCCTTTACAGGTTTGGTGGTTCAGCCTGCATGGTTGATTTTCGCTATTGGTCCACTGGGTCCATTCACCTTCAACTGCAGTGAACATATAGATTCAAGACATTTTAGTACAGTATTTTTCAATTTTGTTTGGTGCCAGGTGAAAGGAAGGATTGGTCTGTAGTTGTTGTTAAATGCTTTCTTGGTTGATCAAGACTTAATTTTCTTGTGTATCGTTTCACTGGATTGCGTCTCCTTTGCAGAATAGACATGTTTGATGGGCTGCCTTTGACCACAAAGCCCTTACATACCTCTAAAGAAACAATATATATATATACATATAGTTATAATATATATTGATGTACATAATCTATGTGGTTCAATACCAAACTCATGTTTTCGTCTGAGAGGTTGAAGGCCACTGCGAAAGGATCAGGTTCAAAAACAAGTATCATTGAGAACCCCCCCAAGCCTTCTCAAGCCGGGGGAAGTGACACATACCCCTACAGGTCCAAGTAACTTCACTGGAGAATGGACCCTCGTGGCATGTTGGATTGCTAAAGGCAATTACCTTGGGTAAGAGGAGCAAATAATGACAAATAGTTTAGTTTGCAAAAGCACGGTAATATCATTATCGTTGCCTTAGACTCTAAGACAATTTGATCCTTGTGTAATTACCTTGTTGTCCATGGGTCTTCCAGTTTCCAGTGATCTTTCTCTTCATGCAGGAACTGGAAAGACCGTGACCAGTGCCACGATTGTTTTCCATCTCACGCGGCAGAACCAGGGTCAGGCGCGTTCCGTCGTTCCATTGCAGTGCATTTTGTGTGAAGGTTGTTCTTTGGTTCGAAGTGAAGGGGAGCTGTGCCAGAGCTGGTGGCATGCTCACAGAAGCAATACGGCAATACGAAGTCGTCTCTTTTCGCCTTGAAAGCAACATTGACATCTGAGAACTGACGGTCTCGTGAGGCTGGTTCACGAACCCCCCCCCCCCGGGCAAGCTGGTTCGTTCGGTTCATTTGGGAAAACACCTACAGTCCCAGCTGCTTCCGTTCGTTGTCACCGTTGTCCCCTGGCTGCACGACTGAACACACAAACTTGGAGGAAGCAAATGCTCCAAGAAGCAGAGTTTGAAGAAGCTACGGAATGAGGGCAATTGCGGCAAAGACATTTTTATGCAGTTGACTTTGACCATTTGTATCATGTTGTATCCATTTGCTCTTACCTGGGGGGTCACCTGTTCCTTTCTGTTTCCACCGGAATACTGTGTTGGGCGGGCTTTTCAGTTGTTCTCACCTCTTGACATGCTCAATTCTCCATGTGCGCAGTGCTGCGGTGTCACAGTTGGTTCCACTCTTCCCCTCACAAGTTCGAAGCTCCCTGTGACAGGTATATACGGAAAACTGTTTGAGTCCACCATTGGCCTTCTTCAACCCCCCAGCTTTTTTCCGCTCATGAACCCATTTCTTTGTTGGGGCTGGAGCCGAATCCGGAGGGGTCCAGACTGGACCCCCATGTGATTTGCTTTTTTCGGTACCAGGACATGGATCCAATTGCGACCAGTTGGCCCTTCCTTTCCTCTCCAACATCGCTCACTCCTTTTTTCCAGGTCTTGGTTTGTGCTCCCTCCAACATCGCTGTGGACCAGTTGGCCGAGAAACTCCACAAGACGGGCTTAAAGGCCGAACCGCCGCACCCGACGGAGGCGAAGGAGCGGAAGAAGACAGCGTCTTAAGACGCCAGACCTCTCTCTGTCTTTGGGAGTCGGAGATTGGATGTCATTGGGAGGTCTGCCATCCGGGTGATTCAACACCTGGCTCTGCCATCGTCAGTTTCGAGACCTACACTGTAGGTGCCATCATTTGTTCCAGCGAACCAATCCCTGCCTGTCTGGAGGTGTGGAGGTCCTGACTTTCCGGCATTCGGTGTCGTGTTGTCCTAATTGATAGAACTCGGCAAAAGAAGATCTGCCAGGTGAAAACTGTGTTATAGTTAATGCTCTAAAAGCACTAACCCCCAACAAGACTTTGATTGTTCTGGATGAACAGGTTCCTATGTCTTTCAAATTCTGTTGTGGCAACACACACTCGCATTGTTTTTTTGCACCAAGCAGACCCTTTTTTCATCATTCCAACAAATCCTCCCCAGTCCCACTCCCGTCAGGTGGTGCGCCTCAGTGCCAAGAGCCGCGAAGCGGTTGCCAGCAGTGTGGACTTCTTGACCTTGCCGGGACCACCCAGACCGTGTTTTGTATAGTTTTGCTTTTGTTGATTTTTCGGCATGATTTTGATGTACTGTGCCCCTCTAACCCCCCTAACCCCGAACCACTGGGTTGGTAAGGTTTGGTTCGGGTCCAAACCCTCTTAGGGTAATGGGTTAAAGAATATGTGACAGCCAGTCCAGATGACAAGCTGGACCTGTCCCCGGAGGAGGCGGTCCACGTCGTTTGTTGATGAAACCTTGCTGAGAGCAAGGTTTGGACGAGCGCGCTGTCATCAGGGCGCTTGGGGAGACCTGAAAAACGAAAGAGATCACCAAAAGGTTGGGAGTGATAACGTTGTGAAAAAAGACACAACTATGCCTTTTGATGGGCCTATCCTGAACAGATTATGAGCGTGACCGATGGGAGCCCAGGCGGGCAAGAAAACTCTCTTGAGCATGTATATGACATATATGAAAAGAAGATGTTTGATGAATCTTTGAGAGCTCTCGATTTTTTCCAGGACCCAGGGTATCCCACGTTCGGGGTGGTTACACCGGGGCTCACTTACCTTTGTAGACACCCCCCTTTATTACCCTTGCGGAATCCACTCTGGTCTTGACTGTCCTGCGCACGAGCCAATGAGGCACCACCAAGTGCGGCATTTGGACACGCCCGACCATCAGGAGAAGCAGAAGCTTTCGCCCGTGAAGGGGGTAACAAGCAGGTTTGGTAGAGGGTTGTGAAACCAACATGATTTGTTGACCCACTTGATCAGGCTAGGGAAAAAGTATTTTGTTTTTCTAAAAATATGGGAGACTTGACTTGGTCCACCTCGTTTCAGCACTTCATTTCACTGAAACCCAGATGGAGACGCATCTCCCTTTCTCCAGACAGACAGACTTGGACTTGCCTGGCGTCCTCTCAAGACCTTTCAAGTTACTGCAATACAGGCCACTCAGATGTGCTTGGCCTACCAAAAGGGGTGGATTCTTGACGCCTGCAGCATGTCGACGAGGGCCTTCAAGTACCCAAGGCACCCAGTTCTGTACACCTGACTTGAATTCTGCGTGCTATAGTCGAAAGCCACGCCCAAGGTGGGCTTTTCAAGAAGCTGGCCAGCCGGGCCCGCCGGAAAACCGAGCACTTGGCCAAGGAGATACAGAATATCTTTTTGCCAACAAGAATCACCCCTGCTTTGGCCATCCGCTTTCTTCCGGGTGTGTTTTTCGATGCTTTTCTTATATTAATGGACGTTGTCTCCAAATTGGCACTGCAAATCCGCCAACCCAAGCCCTCATGTCAACCGCGCTTGCTGACCAACGGGTGTCTAAGACGAGAGAGAGAGGCCCCTCCTCCATGACAAGCTGCCTGGGAATGTCCCCAGGAGCTCCAGAAGTTGCTGGCTTTGAAGGATGAATTGGGCTTTGATCTCAGTGGGTTGGTTGGAAGCAGGTATGGAGCAGGAATTGGGTGGAGGAAGGCAGTTTGTACATAAATATAGTACAAGTTTGATCAACTTCCAACTTTGTTGGGCCTCCAAACATGGTAGAACCAAGAAGGGTCAGAAGGGCAATAACCATGGCCTTCATTGGCAATGCAACTGTTTGAACTGTTTGATTCTCATTCTATACTGCTTCAGTGACCGGTGATGTCCGATTGTGAGACGTCTCTCTCCGCCGGATGGAGCCACTGATGCGACTCGCCACTCATTGCACAGGTTTTCAAGACTCGCCGACTCACCGACTCCTTGGTCGAATGTCTCCTCCTCACATGCGCAACTGCTTTGTTCTTTCTTTCGAAGATGTCTTCTTCTGTCTCTTCTTCTCCGTCTCTGACCCGGTCTACTCCCGCAGGCCTCTTCCCCTTCACCCGAACACCCTCCGCTCGAGCTCGCCCACGGCGAGCGTCCCCCGAAGCGCACGACACGCGAGGTGAGCTCTCACATGCCGATGAAAAGAAGTTCAAACAGTTGCAGAACTCCACGGAGCGAGAGCTGCTGACGGTGCGCGTCGCGTCAGGTGTTTGGTGGAGTGGAGTCCGGTTCGTTTCGTCCGGTTCGAGTCGGGTGGTGAGGGTCAATGGGTTCGAAACGAGGTTGAAAGCACCAGGCACTCCCATGGGACGGTCGGCCAATATGACCATCCCATAGGAGTTTCTGGTTTTTGGAATGGCTTCGGTGGTGCCGACGATCGTCGGACTGGATGTCTTCGCACGTGTCACAAGGGTGACTGGATGGAGAGCGGTGTCAGAAGAATGGCGCTGAGTAGCTGGGCAGGTGGAGCAAGGGGTTAACACTAGTGGCTAGAAGCTACTAGTAACAAGTGCATTGCTACTAGTAACAAGGGCATTACTACTAGCTTCTACTAGTAGCAAGGCCATCGCTTCTAGTAGGTAGGTGTTTCTTTGGGCGCTCTGCACCGGGTGGAGAAGGTTCCACCACGGCGCTCTTGGGGGATGTTTGTAGATTCCCACTGGGGGTGCTTGTCTTCAACTGTAGGAATCTTTGGCGCTCAAAACTGGCAGGTAGTTAGCGAGAAAGAGAGCTGGGGCTGTGCATTTTTCCAGAGAAAGAGAGAGAGAGAGAGAGAGCGAACAAGACCTGTTTGAAGTGCCCCAACTTTTCCCAACCATTTCCAGACTGGTGCCCCAACAAGTTCCGTTGAACGGTTAAACCCACCTGCCACAACGGTGGACTGATGGATCGTCCCTTTCAAGAAGTGGGGGGGGTAGGGGTATAGGCTTTGCCCCACAGCCAGATGCTCACCACCTAGCAAGCTTTTGCGCAGGGACATCCCAAAGATCCCAGAGTGGGTCACCCCCAGATGTTCTGCTTCATTCTCTAACCTTCCAGATTCAGGCATGCATCCCCCTTGTCGAAGGTGCTGAGGGATGAAAGAACATGTCCCACCTCCCTACCAACGAAGGCCTGGGGTCCGTCGTCGAGGCTCAAGGAAGAGGCCACCGAAACCACTCGCCGAAACTCCCTTAATAGACTCAGGAAAAGTGGAGAACCTGCATGCAGGTCACCATTATTGGGGGAACGAAAAAGACATCGGGATCTGAGGCCTCTCCGTAGCGGAATAGGTTTCGCACACGCCTCAAAGACTCGCAGGCCGCGGATGTGATTTGCACGACTTGCGCGACTCGGTCTGAAGCAAAGGCTGCACTGGTTCATGGAGAGGAGGGAGTGAGGGAGAAAGGATCCCAGCACCCGCCATGCTGCGAGCTGAAGAGACGTTAGACTGAAGGAATTGGTGGGAACGAGCTGCTGGGATTCGATCCGAAAAAAACGAGCTTGTCCGGATGTAGAGCTCGTGGCGTTTGGGGCGGTTTGCGGCGCAGGGGGGCGGTTTTGGGCCTCCAGACATCACTCCAGACCATGTGGGGTGGAGGGTTTTGGCTCAACATCATCCACCAGAATCTATGAACAAGAGCACCGTTCACCGATCCAACCTCCCCAGGTGAGCACGCCCAAGCCTGGATCCATTGAAATTGTGAGCGGCCAACCCCATGGAAAGCTTGGAAGTTTCAAGACCAAGCTATTGAGGGGTGAATCCCCTGAAATGGAGAATAACTATATCTCGTTGTTGATCTTTGTTGTTGTTATCTGATTTTTCACGGGTCCTTAAGCAAACTCAAGATAAGGAGAGAGAGAGAGAGAGAGAGAGAGGGGGGGGGTAGGTGAACCCTCAATGGATCCGTCGTGTCTTCCGTGGAGTGGAAGAGAAGAAACGTCGAGCTTCTTTGAGACCCATGAAACGCACAAGACGTCTCCAGAACGAGCGAACCTGGCAGCATGGCGCACACAACACCAACTACAGTAATCAAATCCTTGACACCCAAACACAGGCCTTTTTGTTGGAGAGTCACTTTCCAAAGATTTGAGCGTCTAGGTGATTCAGGTGAAACAAGGCGAAACAGGTAAACAGGTCTTGTTGCTTTTGCTCGTTGGAACGTGTTGCATGCAACCTGTCCTCGTTTTCCTCCCTCCACACCAACCCCAGCACCCAACCTCGCCCAGCCCAAGGTCGGTGCGGGTGACCCTCGCTTGCAGAACTTCCGCTTCAAACAGGTCTTGGTCGATGAATCCACGCAGGCACGGCGAGGAGTCGAGGAGGTCGGACGACCGGGGCCGGTGTTTGGGTGGATTCATGGGGATCCTTTCGCAGGCCTGGCGTGTGTTTATTTTTAAAGGGCCGAGGCTGCCGAGGTGTCAATGATGTCACTTCAGTGTACAAATGGTCAAGGAACTTGAAGGAAGGGTGATGGTGGCAGTTTGAAAGAAACGGTTTCTCATACAGGTGCAGAGGGGATGTATACTTCTTATCAATTCTGATTATTATATAGTTTAATTTGCAGTTACTCCAATAGAAGTTTCTTCACAGGTTTTAAGTCTCAAGCTAGCAGCTAGCTTAAGTCATTAACTCCGTAATTGTGCATAAGATACTTAAAACGGTTGATGGGTTTTTAGAGCCCAGACCAGACTGTGTGTCGGGTTTTGAGGTCGAGGGCTTTAAAGTCGTTTTGGCCCAGTTGGGGCAAAAGGATCTAGTCAAGGAGACCTTCCCATGGCTGAACTGCTAGCTGCTGCTCAGGTGGAAGGTAAGGAGCCCACAAATATCTATATGTCCCATCAAACATGAGCCGTTGTTGAAGGTGGATTCTTTTTGTATCATCTATCCAGTCGACAGTGGAGATGGATTCCCCACTGAATGCGAACAGGTCGAACAAAGCTTAACCGTTTAATGTTCCAGGAATCTCCGGCCTCGGGAGCCAGCTGAGCCAGCTCCTCATAGAGCCCTGCATGTCCTGCCTCTTCGACGAAAGAGACGAACGGTGGAGAAGTCCTCGCTTCGGTTGAACTCTGCTGAAACTGACTGGTGCGACTCGTAGGGAATAAGGGAAGGAGCCTTCGCTCCCAATAGAGAATTCCTATCTGGATCCAGCCACCCTCATTCGCTACGAGTCGCACCAGTCAGGAATAGGAGGAGTTCGGAAGAGCAAAGGGACATGCTGGCAACGACCGAGCTGAATCTAAGCACCAGGTGTTTCAATTTGCCTGCAGAGCAGAAAAAGACGCTATCAGATAGCGGGAAGTCCAACTGGAAGGCCGAGAGGCACAGCAAGGAGATCGTCTTAAGAAGAAGCTTCCGAAGGTCAAGAAAGAGCCGGAAGAGTGGTCCAGGTTCGTGATGTTCACTTGCAGCTTGGTAATGCTTGGCGTTTTCAGCCGGAGCTGTCAACTAAGAGTCTTGCATGGGTCAACCTCAAAAGCCCACGAACGACCCCGGTGCTTGCCACTGGAACATGCCTGGTGAGGGAAAAGGCCGCCGAACTGGAACACTAGCAGCAGTCGATACCGTTGACCCAAGTGTTTGCTCATACGTGTGCACACATCTGGCATTTTGTTGCTGTACCCCCTGCTTGCATCCAGCCGAATGCGAAAGATCGAGGCCAACATATTGTTGTCCCGACATGGGGACAGGGGTGACATGGGGTGAACGGTCGCCCCACAACAAGCCCAGTGAGGTGTTGCATTCAGCACAGGCTTGCAGTTGATATTCAACATCGAATGATGCAACTTCCATTTGTCCTTGCCAAGACCAACAGTTATTGTTGGTATAGGGAAGGCATAGGTATATAACTCCTGGTGTAGCAGCTGAATGCCGGACATGAATGGCTGGTATAGCAGTCGAATCTCGAAAAGCTTGGCACCGGAGGGGCCTTTGGTGCAGATGAAATCCACTCCACAAACATGCCCGGTCGAAGGCAAAAGCTTGGACCTTCGCAGAAAGCCCTTTTTGTTCCGCTTCCGAACAGAACCCATGGTTCCGCTTCGTCGCACGGTCCCTCCCTCCGCGGCCACCGAGCCGGTTTCGGTCGCGAGGCCACCGAGCCCGAGTGCCTGATCCCCATTATGCCCGGAAACCCGGAGATCTCGGATCCCGCGGAAACCCGCGTTCATCGTGTTCCGGTGAGAGAACCGGATGGAGACGACGGAGGAGGAGACGTGAGGACGACGACGGTGTTCTTGATTTGGGGGTGGACGGCGGTGACTGAAGGCACTTACAGTGGTCAGGAAGTTCCGGAATTCACGGAATGCTTTTGACCGTGGTTTTGACGGACCGGAAGCGTTTGGTGTGTGGAAAATCATGGACCTGGAGCTGGATCCGGTGGAATTAGTCTCACTAAGACGCACTAAGACACACCCGTTTGCACTTGAAACATCTTGGAGCCCTACCTATACAGGCTACCAACCTTGGTCATAATTAGATGTTCAGCGGAAAGTGTAATTGACTGGCTGAGTTGCCAGTGGAAAACCTGCTTGTCAAAACGAGTCATTTTCCATGAAGACCATGTGATGTGCTTATCGGAGTTCACGCAGATGTATACACTTTGGGGTAAGGTGAATGAGATATACGTCGACCCTCCAACTGGGTAACAGGAAGACATGTGGGGAACAGGTACTCTCTGATACCGTACCTGACCCTTCTCTGAAATTGGGTGCTTTTGTGGACCTGACATGTCCGAGAAGTAACATTTGACGGATGAGTTTCAAGTACTCTTCACCGCAAAGAGGGATTCTGTTCAGACTCATCCCTCTCCTACACATCTTCTTTTTGAAGCGATATAATCCAATTGGTGGAAGCTTTATTCACCAGATGGAAACTACCTTCATGAATGCTGAAAGACGTCCACCTGCAGGATACATTCAAGAATCTCAACCTGCGAGAGAATGGACTGTTGGCTCATGTGAATGTATCCATTGGGCCAACAGACGCTTCTCTACAGATCTGGCTTCAAGCCAATAGGTCCTGTAGACAAATATCTTGTCAGTAGAGTCTATACAGGCCTGGGCACCCGGGTTACCACTCATGAAGTCAGTTACCTCACCTCGAGATTGGTTCTATCAGAGTCTATCAAGTCGCACCGCCTTGTATGGTACCACCCGGTCGCACCGCCTTCCTAGATGTTCCAAGCCCAGTTATTTTAAACGGGTCAATGTTCTCTTTTCACACCTCTGAATCAATCCATTTCCTAATTGTTTCATCTTCATGCTTCGCCTGGAATATCATCTGTAGGTTCCGGAGTGCTGTAAAAAGCCTCACTCTCCTCGCAGTCTTCAACCCATACTAGCTTTCGTCACCAACCCACGGCCTTAAGTATGAATCCTGCTTACACCACCATAACAGCTTCTTGAATAGATCCTTTTCGATTTGGACACCCAACAAAATGGCCTTCTTGAGATGAGTGTTCACAAATCACAGCAGAAAAATATCTCATACTAACTAGGAGACAGTCACAAATCACAGCAGAACAACGCCCTCTTGCAGCTTCTTCCAAGTGACCTTTTGGGAGTTTCTCTTCTTTTTGACCTTTTACAGTCTGGTTTGGGACCGAACCAACCAGAAAAATCCAGAAACCGAACTTGCTCACGGAAGAACTGGCGGACACCGTCTACTTGGCTTGCTCGGACGCTCCGGACGCTCCGCGGTTCCCGAGGATGGGCGCCAAGCAGATGGTCTTGGTGGGTGACCACTGTCAGCTGGGCCCCGTGCGGAAAGCCCAATCGGATTGGAGGTTTGCTCGACAGGTGTCCATATGCAGAGGTGAGCATCTCAAGGCCAATCTTTGGGGTAACAAGAATGAATTACAGACCAGGAGTTTGGTCCCATCCAGTGAGTAAACCCTAGTGAATCATGGACTTCTTCCCGAGTTAAACGGGTCGATCTTGGTGGGGCGACTTCCGCTACCACGGGAACGCAAAGCGCAAAGGAAGGAACCGCTCTTTTGGGACTTTCTTGGGAACCGTGCAGATTCGGATTCTTTTTCTGTTTCGTGTTCAGAGTGGGTGACCGGATCTGATTTGGGGAACAATGTGGAAGCCTTTTGTCAGCATATTAGCTATCTTGTCGGCCGGAAGCCTCGCTGTCTTGCTAGGTGACAGGCACTGGTCGCGGGGTCTTTGGGTGGTGTATGATGGTGGATCACTCGAACAACCCCTCCGTTGGGTATCTGCAACTCTCCGTGCCGTTTCCTGCAGATGAGGCTAAATCGAAGAAGTATACAGACTATCCCATACATACCCCAGCAGGGTCCTTGTTCAGGTCACTTGACCTCTCTTTGCATTGACACTGGGGGTCTATACCCCACTGTACTCGCTGGTAGTCTCGCTGGTGTATGTTTGGAGTGGTCCTCTATCTCAGGTGATCATGTGCAAGAAGGCTGCCAAGGCACGTGACACGTGCTGACTGGGACTGACGGACTGACGCAGACCGTACCGTATCGGTATGAGGGGATTAGAACATAGGCTTCTAATATGCGGAGGAAAATCTTGGTGATGCCCTCCATGTCAATGAATTCAAGGGTGCAAACATGTGTATGACAGTGGTCTTCCCCTGAAAGCTCTGGGTCACAGGCACAGGCTTGGCAAGTAGCTTCACAGCCTGCACAGCGAGACGAAAAGTAAACATGGCGCAATGTTGCCACAGCAACAGACTGGCTTAAGCGTGATGGAGCTCCCCTCAGGAAGGTAGGGATACATCGCCTTCTGGCATTTTCTGGCATCACACATCCCCAAGATTCTCCCAGCATCTTCAATTTCAAGGGCGTATGTGGATGCCTTTTTGGGTTCAAAACCTCTCAAAACCTCTCAAAATTCACAGGCAGGACTCAAGCAGCGGAAATGGCATCTGAGCTGCTTGCAAGTTGAGGGTTGAAGACTCGGGTCCACCCACGTTGTGCCGCTGGTCTCCCACGTATGCCCCACATCCTTTTGGTTGGTCCAAAGGGGGTTCGAAGGAGGAAGCCCAAGGTTGAGAGTCAAGTTCCCTTGTGATACCACCCTGCTTGATGTTGTTCCTAATAGATGCTATAAGGGTGGCCTTGGGCCCTTAGGCCCGGCCTTTTCTTTCTTAGGCCCGACGCAAGGAACGGGGCGCTCCGCCCAGCATTACTACGAGTAGCAAGAAGCTACTAGTAACCAGGGCATCGCTACTAGTAACTTTCTTTGGGGCTTGGTCTTGTGATTTCCCTTGTTTCAGCAGAGCTCGGCCACTCGGCTCCCCTCAACTCCCAGGCCGGCTTGCACCAGAGCCTGTTCGAGCGGCTGATCTTCTTGGGCATCCGACCCGTACGCTTGGAGGCGCATTCCCCGGACGCGTCCTACGTAGTGGGCTTGGCCAGGGAGGCCAGTGCAGGAGGAAGGGAGGAATAGCCAGCTGGTGGATCATGGTGCTCATGTACCTAGCAGGAGCTCAGCAGAAGTTCCGAAGGATCAATCAATTGAGGGAACGATCTCAAGAAATGCATCGAGGAACGAGTCTCGTAGGTTGCCCAGATGCCCATGCCAAGCTCCAAAGAGATGCGAGATGTCACGAGCTGTCACGATCGACTGGACGTTCCCCTTGGGCCACCAAAATCGCTCCAAAGCACCCAGAAAAGCAACTGCTCGTGGTGTTCCCTGCAACATGCTCTGTCCCAAGCAAAAGCGGAAAGGGCTAATGATTGAAGGAAGAAGCCGTCAATGATTTGGAGATGCTCGGAAGTATTTGGAGATGCTTGTTCGAGCGTTGTTGCAAACCTCAAAATTGGAGTTGCTTCTTCATATAGAGATCTTCCAGATTCTTCCAGAAAAGTTTCAAGAGAATTTGCCCTCCTATTTCTGTAGACTCAGAATTTTGGAGCATCTCTCTTTGAGGTTTGACTTGAACTCGGCACTCAAACTAGATGCGGTGAAGAACAGATATGCATCTGCTCCGGACATGGGAGTTTATGGCCATTTCCATAAGGGCTCACGAGTTAGTTCGTCTCCGGCGTGGTGATTGAGGCGATCTTCCAGCTGTGTTGATTCATTTTTGGGTTAAGGTCTTTGGTCTCTCCACAAAGAAAAAAACAGCAACAATCAAAGAGGGACGTGTTCTTTTCCGCTTTATCCATTGTTCCCCAAAACCTCTTTATATCTCATATATATATATATATACCATTCTTTATCCACATGTTCCATGATCATCCATGATCGATGCCGTGATGTTCGTTCGCAGCGCTCGCTCCTGCAGGTTCAATACCGCATGCATCCGTGCCTCTCGGAATTCCCGTCCCAGTCGTTCTACGATGGCTCTTTGCAAAACGGTCCGGGGCCTTCAGGGGTCTGGCAGCGGTCTGGTCGACCTGACCTCTTGGGGTAGACTGTGGAGCACCTTGGGGCAAACCATGTGCACTACCACAGGTTGAGATTGGAGGGGGTGGCGGGGTCACTACATGCGATGAACGACGGTTTTCAATATGGCTACGGACAGAAGTGGGCATATTCCTTGGCATCAGTAGGTGTTTCACATCCATGTATGTTGCTAATCTCGAGCGGCGAAGTGGAGGTACCCGAACTTTCAGTGGAGCATCCAAACCAAAGGCTTGTGACCCTGAAGACCTCGCAGGTTTTGGGGAATCTCCTCGCTTTGAAGCAACACACGCTGCATACGGCGCATGATGAAGGGCCTGTCTTTTTCTCCCAGAGAGCCTCGATCTTGATCTCTCGAACGATCCTTTTGCTGCTCGGCCCCATCAAACAAGTTCGACCCAGGTCCAAATTCTAGTCCTGAAAAGCTCATGAAGTACGTAGTGTTCTTGTATGATGAACTAATTTCCAACCTGTAGGGTGAGTATATGTGAAGATGAACGAAGGTGAACCTGAGGCCGCTCTAATTACAAGCACCTGTAGGAGATGAGGAGAATTCACTCAAAGTGCTCTCGCAGGGAAAGGCCTGATCGAAGCAGAGCCAAATCCGAACATGTCCTGCCACCAGGAAGCACATTCGCTTGTTCACACATGTTCCGTGCACTCCGGGCACCAAACATGGGCATGGGTTGTTTTTCCCCTGGAGCCCGCCCGTCCACCCTGTAGCGAAGGACTCTCCACCCTGGTCCACCCTGGTGCCATGATCCACAGCCATATGGCACCAGGTCCGAAAGGGCTTCTCGAGGTCCGAAAGCAGAACTTCCCCGATCTGCGCCTGGCGCGTTTGCGCAGCACTTCCCCGGTGGATGTGTGGATGTGTATGGTGAATGGACCGTGCTAGCTATGGCATGGTGCTTGGTTGGATGAGATACTGGGTCTCGTATCGTGACCGTTGCTATTGCAGTTGGGATTGCAATTGGTTCCAAACACCCCCCAAAGCACATAATAATAAACATAATATATTGTATATTACATATTTGTTACAGTATTTTTAAACCACACACACACACACATTCTAACTCCTAAGCTCACCGGTCAACACGTTGCCGGGGATCGAGGCGTCACACTCAACGAGCGCCTTTATGCCGGCATCGACTTCCCCTGGCCACGTGCGGTGCTCGTCCAGAGTGGCCACGGTGCGTGGAGATGAGATACCCAGGAAGTCCGTAGAAAACCTGCAGGTCACCATTTTTGGTGGGGGGGAATTCATTTTCGTCACTAAAGGAGTTGAACTGGCGGAATGTGCCGTTGACCTTTATTTGCCAGGGACAGTGAGGGCATCAGAATATTGATATAGGCGCTAAACCGCCGCTAAACTCAAAATCTGGGAGAATCTCTGTACTAGGACACCCTGGAAAGTATGTTTTTGGATGAGAAGGTTTGCCTGTCATCCACCCCGAATTTCGGGTCAAATACAGTCCACCCCGAAAAAGGTCTTCTGGTTTTACAGTTGGCCGGCTCGGGGAAGACATCTTTAAAGGTAATCCCCATGCTCTGTTGGCAAGAACAAGAGAAAGCCGGCAGACTGGACTGGACCTGGACGGATGTCTAGCGAACGGGCCAGTGGCTACCAGTGTGTGATTGGGAAACCCCCAGTCCACATATTGTATAGTTGTTTTGTTCTTTTTTCAAACCAGTGGTTCCCTGCAATCGCACCTTCTTTTCCTCCCTCCGTTCCGCACCTTCCGCCACACCCACACCACTGGGCGCCCAAGACGAGCCGGACCACCGATCCGTCGACCCCGAAGCCGGACATGCCGAAGCCGATGACGAAACGATGAGGTCCGGACATGCCGATGTTCTTCCTGAACTCCACGGGCGCTGAAGAGATCTCCGCGTCGGGGACCTCCTACCTGAACCGCACGGAGGCGCGGCGACCGAAACCGACGAGACAGTGGACCGTCCCGGGCGGTGTCTCCAAACGGGAGACTTGGAACGGACCATGGGATGGGTGCCGCAGTTGTTGGGATGGGGGGCTGGCCGGAAGGAGCGGTTTGGGTGGTTTTGAGATGATGGAGAGGGAGGGGAGATGTGGGGATAGGCACCAATGGCATGAGACGAGTGTAATTTGATATGCGTGGCAAGTATTCAATGAAGTATAGTTTGCCATTGGATTTTGAGGAACTCTGGAGAAGATGGAGAGATGAGTTAAGGGGAACACAGGAGCAAAACCAATTGGCGCGAATGCCAGGGAATGGGACTGATTCTGAGGAGGTTGAGTCAGGCCAAAGCACATTGGGATCGGACTGGAGAGCATAATTAACTGAATTAAGACCTGAATTTAACCATATATATAAATGTTGATTCTTCTTCGTGTCCACGTCCTTTGCCAAAATTTTCCGGCTTAGCCTTGGTGAGATCCATCTTCGGACAGTTTTTGGACGCAGACAAGGGTCGGCCCACTCTTGCACTCCTCCAGTACAATCGATTTTGATTTTGGGATAATTTCTACCCTCAGAGGCGGGTCTGGGTGAGGTTGTACCCCCTTAACAGTCCAAAGATCCTTATCACTAACCACCACTGTAAGCATACTGTAGCCATTACGTAGTCTGTGCCGTTGATCAACCTTCACCATTGTTTTGATGGTGCGCGGACAACCTAAGGTATAGATCAAAACCCAGATACCCGAAGCATAGTATGTGAACAGCAATGCTAATCAGAGGCACAGGGATGCATAACTAGCACCGGTCAATCCCAGTCGCTGAAAACGGGTATACAGACCTCAGTTTTATCCTGGCCCACCGTGCGTTTAATGTTTCGATTCCCAAACACCCATTGTTTGACGACCCCATAGGGTCCATGTATACCTCCTTTTTGGATGGTCGATCTGGGGCCCTGGCAGGACATTCGATTGGTCCTGGACCTGGACCCTTAGGGGAAGGATTTCAGACTACATCACTTGACAAAGGATGTCTTTAGTCAAACAGAACGCAGGCGATCAGGGATAGGCCAGTCATGTTGAGTTTCATCGGTCGGACCTGTTTTCGAGGATGAGATGGGACCTTTCCACTGTGGAGGGATGACCTAGACCATCCTAGACCTGGTTTTGGCATGTTTTTGTTTGATTTTCCAGAACTGGGTACATCTCTGCTGGGGGTTATATGTTCTTTCCCAGTTTTGGTTCAATCCGCACATCCACCTCGTAGATGTCTTAGCCGAGGGGAGCGCCCGCTCCGCGTTGGTGAAACGGACAAGCAAAGAACCCTAAGACGGAGAAACACGTGCTGCAATTTTTGCGTATGCGATGCTAGACAAAGACCTTGTTATGCTCCCATTGATGTCAATGGAAAAAGACTAGGGAATCATTCGCTTCTCCTAGCTATCTGTGACATTGCTTTGGCCCTGAAATCCTTCCACCATGGCGACAGATGCTTCTTCCATTCCTCCATCTTCTTTATGTTCTCGGCAGCACGCAGGCGACGAACATCGAGAAGCTGGTGACCTACTTCTTGAAATCTGGAGTGAAGCCCTACCAGGTGTGCAGAGCCGAGCGAAATCATGCAGAGCAGAGAGGTAGAGTGAGTCACCTGGATTGGAGACCTAGAGATGCTGGTGGTGAGTCCAAGGACAAGATCATGCAACACCATGCGAATGTCAACCGACCGAAGGAGCGGAAGGAGTTCCTTGCGGGGCTCCCGACTCACGATGGATGTATGACTGGGTTGGTAAAAACTAACTCCTCCTTGATAATATGTAATGACTGAGCTTAACTGATCATTGGGATGTTTCTAGTCAGATCTATCAAGAACAACAAACATCCTACCTACCCAGAGGCGACCCGAACGAGGCGCCCTGAACCAACTGCTCTACGGTTCGATCCAAAACCGCGAACTGAGGGTCAATACCCTTAGGACTGAGGGTCCTTCCTGAGCCTTTGGGCGACAGACATGGTATGACACGTTCTGTAGCGAACATCCCACGTTTCCGAACTCGAGAAGATGCTCCTGACCTAGCACGGGCAGGTGGGTATCATCACGCCCTATGAGGGCCAGCGAGCAACTTGGAGCAAGCTGAGGAGGGGGTGCAGCCAAAACAGCTGAGGAGGGAGATCTCCTTCTCTTGAAACTTTGGAAACATTTGGAAGTAAAAGCCCCAATATGGACGTGAAAAACCATTCTGAGGGGTGTACTAATCAACCCTCTATGTACATTGCCACTATTTATGGTGGTCCATCCATTTTTCTGAGGGTCACAGCCACCCGTGGGGGCTCTACTAGTGCGTCTTGTTGCCGCTCAAAGAGAGACGGGGTGAATTATGCAAGTCCTATGCAGTGTCCGTTTTGGAGGATGTTCTATGAGGTGAACTGGCGCCATTTTTGGCCATATGTGTGTGTATTTCAACAGGGAGGACACCCAACCAATGGGTTGCCGATGTTCATGGTTCAGAGGGTCTTTGGGAGGTCTCCGGTCTCCCTATTTTATTACACACCCATATTGGCAGTTAGCTCCACTGTGTGACGACCCTTGTGAATCTCAGAACTGATCTTAGCGCTCTTTTAGGCCCTCAACCGAATTCAATCCTGGCGTCCAATCGAAGCGTCCATTCGAAAGAAAGAAAGTTAGCTCCACTGAGGCGTACATTTGCTCCGTCCTACAACGCCAGACCTGCTTCAGCCACAAGGCGCGACGCAGACAGACGTGTTCAGCCGAGCGAGCCTGGGAGGAAACGGAGCACGAAGCTGGCATTTGATCTGTTCGGGGTCCTTGATTCTTAGGGTGAACCCTTTTTGTGACGGATCGGATGTTCTAAACAGGGATCACCTGTTTGTCCAGGTCCAGGTCCTGTGGTGAACTCACTTGGGGAATCTGGGACGGAGCCATAGAGCCTTGTACCGTCTTGGAGTCCTCGCATGTGCGGCAGATGACATGAGCATCTCTTGAGGGGCAATTGAAAGTGTGTTGGGAGCGTGGTGTTCCTCTCAGGTTTGCTCTTTAGCACTGCCTCTGGTGATTCTGGCGTCAAGGAATTACATGTACAACTGGGACAACTCCAGTGAATTCTGGTGTTATTGCGCGCCCTGGGGCCCTGACACTAGTTTACCCCTTATGCACAAGAAAAGCTCCAACCAACCATCAGCAATTACCGTGAAGTGCTGGTAAGTGCTGCAAGGTCGTGGTGTGGGCAAACATGGCAAACCAGAGTCTAGATCGAACTTCTGAGGTTAGGGCATCATGACTCCAAGGTGGTTAGTTAGGCATCATCATCACCACTAACCTTGTGTGGGCAAAGGCATAGGAAGTTAGGCATCGGTGCCTAGGCCTTTGACTCCACTCAGCCCAGAAATCCCGCTGGCCAGGCCTATGAGGAGATCGAGGTGGCGAGTGTGGACAGCTTTCAGGGACGAGAGAAGGCCGGGGACGCTGCGGGGGGCCAACTGCTCGGTGTGTTTTTGATGCTCAGGGACGTATCCACCAACCGAGAGAAGCCTAGGGCCTAGCCTGCGGTGTTCGAGCTACTGGAAGCCTGCGGTGTTCGCAACCCAACATGCAACTGATCTTGACCCAATGCCCAAGTTTAGGAGGAACTTCTTCATTTTCCACTTCCACACCACGATGCCCTCACTCAGTGCTAGTGCTGGCCAGCCTTCGCTTTGGATAGGACTTCATCCTCCTTTCTTGCGTGCGGTCGAACCAGCCACGTGCTCAGTGATCTGGGTGGGAGCAGTCATGCACTGTCATGGCCGGGCCATACAAACAGTGTTGAAGGAAGCAAGATTCTGTTTGGCACCACCTGGGAAAGAGAAAACTGTGCTGGTTTTATTCTTCTGATTGTTTGTATCCACTTGTATCCCATGGCTGGTGGATTTGTTCCATCAGTTTTGCAGTTTCAGGGTGCACCTTGCCGATCTTTACAGCCGGATTCACTCCAAAAAGGAACAAGAGAATCACTTTCCCCTAGGTTTGCGCTTGCGGGAGATTGATTTGTCATGAATCATCATGTAGCCAATTTTAGCTGTTCTTCGTATCCATCATGCATATCTGGGAGGACCGGGAAGGTACCCCTTCAACCGTGTACATAATGATGAATGACCATAAGGTATACATGCGTTTTTAATGTTTTTCATTCTCGCAAGTTCCAGCTGCCAGAGCTTTAAGGAAGAAAGACATATACGCCAAAAAGCTTTCATCCCAAACCACCCCAAATATGTGTGTTTTCTGAACCTCAGGCTAGGGCGCGGTCTCCAAACAAACAGGAAGCTAGTGAAAAGGCTCCATGCAACTTTTTGCCCTGGCCCCGAAAGAAAAAACAAAAACACTTCCCACTCAACGCCAGTCCCTGGTTTTGTGTTTTTCTTTAATGTTTTCCCTTCGCTGACACGGTGGCTTGCCACACCCCGGGCGAAGGAGGCCTCGATCCGCCACGAAGGAACCAGGGCATCGGCTTCTTGAACGATCCGCGGCGGCTGAACGTGGCGCTGACGCGGGCGAAGTATGGGCTCATCATCTGTGGCAATGCGAAGGCGAGGTGTGCGGAGTGAGTTGGGGAGACGCGCAGCAAGCAAATGCCAGCAAATATAGCAAATGTATAGTGATCCCAAATAGATAGTGGTAAGTATAGTGGTACGGTTTCCAATAGAAATTGTTGTGGGGATCTACTTTTCTAGCGATTTTGGGTGATTGATGGGATTTTCCTGTCAAAGACATCTGGGGATGGGGCTGATGGGTTGTCCGATCCCCTGATCTAGGTTCGATTCGAGGTGATTGCAGGATCGAAGCATATCGAACAAGAGTGCTTAGTGTTTGGTATACCCCATGGCGCCCATGAGAGAACATCGTGAAGCATGTTTTGGCTGTAGATCGGTAGATCAGGTACCGGTCTCATGGAGTGTTTTGGGTAGAGTAGCCCTAGCCTGCATTGACCCGGTGTGGTAGTCTAAAAATCCTTAGAAAAACCATGGTGGTTCAGCAAACACATTTAAAAACACTTGGTTACGTAGGTGTTTTCTCACGCGAGAACAACAAATCCTTCTTTCAACCATTGGAATCCTAGGCGGGGTTGTTCACGGTGTGTTCATGGCCGATGTTCGCAAGCGCGGTGTCTTTTGTTCTGTTTGGGGTCTATGCTGGAGTTTGTCTTTGGTTTCAGTAAACTTCGACTTTGCCGCAGATACACATTCTATATACCCTAGGCTTCCGTTCGACCGGTTAAACGTGGGTGACCTGGGTTTTGTAGTCGAGAATCCCTAGTTTGCTGTTGCTCTTTGGTGAGAACCCGGTGAAAAGGTGGCTGTTTGAATCCTATATATGGCATGGAAAATAGACACAGCACGCCATGGTCCTGCCTTGATGATATTGCCAGATTGAAACCTCTATGGAAGGTTTGGACATGTTTGGACCCTCAAAGCCCTCACTTCATTGTGTGGGTCTTTGATTCTTAGGGTACCCACCCAAAAAAACACAAGGACACCTTCCGAGCCGCCATGAGGTGCGAGGTCCGAGCCGGTCCATATATATATATAATATATATATATATATCGTTGCGCCTGAGGTCTTGGGAAAGCAGTTCCGCTCTCAACCGTCACTCTGGGTGAACCTGCCAGAGCCTCAAAGTGCCGGTGAGCGACCCGCGACCGAGGGTGGCACTGAATCCAGTCCTCCATATGTTCACAGATGGAAGCTGTGTTGACCCACAGGATGTGAGAAAACACCAGCAGCACGGAGCTGAAGACATCTTCACAGGGGGAGGACCCACATGCATTCCGTGCCGAAGACTTCCATACCCTTGCATGCTCCCAGCTAGAAGGACTCCAGACGCAAAGAAAAACACATCAAACAGAACTGTCCACTTCGACACAGATTCACAGTATATGATACAGCTGACATTGTCAACTACATCTACCACAACGCCCTTCACACAGCAGATATCAATTTGCGCACCTTGACCTCATTAAACAAATAGCTGCTGGCTGCTAATCAGAAATATGCAGATGCAACTGATATGCACTGATTTGCTTATGGTGGTAGGCAATGACTTGGCCGGCCAAGCCGCCAAGGATGCATGCCTCCAGGATGAACTTGAATTAAATTCGACCAGAATTGCCATCAAACGCACTCACATCGAGTCAAGCAAACAGAAGATCTGGGACATATATAGTGACATACATGGCGTTCCCTTGCAGATATCAACTTCACAACCATCCAAGCACAGGATACAGCTGAAAGGTGGAAACATCCCAGCTCGCAGCCCATCTGGCGACATTTGAACAGTACTGCCAGATGATGTGGCCAGTCGACGTGTTGTCGATCCTCTGCTCACTTTGCTCAGCGCGTCGCCCCTCGACCCCTCGATGCACCGTAGGTCGAATGGTTTCGAATTGGCCGTTTCAGATGTCATTCAGAAGGCAAATCCCCATTTGTTGGATGTGCTTCCGTAGGAATCACCGGAAATCCAGACACTCCCTCCAGCACAAGGATTCATGAGCAAGCCGAGGCCTCACTATCAAACACATTGAAGCCCTGGCAGCCCATAGCTCTATTATGTTCTATCCCAAACACTCCAAAACCGGATCAGGGTCCCTCCCATCACTGGAGTTTGGTCCGACTTTGGCATCGCACATAGGCCACAACTTACCCTAGCACATAGAATCATGCAAGTTCTTTCGGACTTTGTGCATCATTTCCCGGTGAACCTACCATCTCACACGGCTCTCCCTGTAATTAGTTATCCCGAGGTATGACCCTCTTTGATGAGCCCGCACTTGTTGAAATCCCACTCGCCCAGCGGGCTATCTACAGAGGGTGGCAATGAAAAAGCATGGAGATCCCCGGCCCCGTCAAATGTTTGACCCGTATCCATGAATGTTGTCAATTAGGTGCTTTGCTCACTGTCGTGCCATTGTCTCATGTGTCTTCGTCCATAATTCATAGCCTGTGACACTGTACTCATGCAGATCGTGTTACTTGTAGTGCTTGTTTCTCATGACATGATGATACAAGCTGCACCCATGGGTAGAAGGGTCCATGAGAGGCGTGACGACGCAAACGGTCCTCAAGATTCGAATATGTCGTCATGGTTTGTTGTTTTTTTGGCACCTTCGAAGGGTTGCAACTCTTGGAGGAAGGGTTGCACGGCCTTCCCAGTTTTCATGCGTTTTTCATGGCTTTTTCCATCTGAGGAGTCTTTTCGGATCGGGGGAAGAGATTGCCCGATGACCAGTGTGTTGAGGTTGAGCCATTACAAGAAGTACGAGCTGGTGGTGGAGGGCGCGCTGTCGAATCTGAGACAGTGCGGTCACCCAGTCGTAGCAGTTGCCGGGCCGGGCGGAGCCGGATTTAGGTGGCCCCAACGAGAGGTGCGGCCAGGAAGAGCGGAGGAACTTGCAGAAAACAGTGAGTGGAGATCCGCTGGGGCAGGGTTTTGATAGGATTGGATGTGCTGGACACGACTGATGGGACTGGGAGATATGCCACCTCATTGACCCCAAAAGATACACCCCTGGCCGTTTCTGGGCAAATATGGCAGTCTCGGTCGTTTTTCTGGGTGTCTTATTCTTGTTGACGCATTGTTGCTTTTCGCGTGACGTGGTTCGGGCGGATCCCGAACTTAAGCGGATCCGGATCCGATGTCGACGAGCCAACACCCAGGTGTCGTGGGCTAGATGTTTCGGTTCCTTTTCCCGGGCTCCAGCAACCTGCAAGACGAGACAGATCGACTGGTATGGGTGTCAGATTAGAATTCAGACCCCAAAGACCCCCTGGCAGAAGGAAAAGGATGAAAATGAGACCCCAACAACTCCATTGATTGGGGTGTCTCCCCCTCTTCTTCGAAGTATGGCATGGCCTCGATTTTGGACCATGAAATCCGAAGACCAAACCAGTGGTTTTCACTCCACGTCCATGATGATTCCAGCACAGGGTATCTATGAACATCGAGAAAAAGCCAGAAATGGAGCTGGCGAGGCCTGTTCATTCACATCCCTTTCCCGAGACATCACCCCATCGAATTGGCGAGTACACTGAATGGAGGGGGCCCCCGTTTTGGTGTTCAAATGCCTTCACCCAAGTCGCCATTTCACTGCAACTACTGCTACGTAATACCAAATGCGACTGTTGTGGAAAGGAATTGTGAGCATATGGTTGATCATGCTTCCCCTCCAGTCTTGCACCTAACAAACAGACAGCTTCTTTCCTTTGAGCTCGATCTTCCTGCGTCTTCTCACTCCAACCCCAACAGCTCCGACCGCTCCGGCTGTCCCCTTTGCACCTACCTCATGGGCCTTTGCCGGCGCCAGTGAAGCCCGGACTCCTCGGTGGGGTGTCGATGGTGGGCGGCGCCGGTGTGGCGGGCCCAGCTGAGAGGTGCCACATCACCTTCAGCAAGCCCATGCGGCTCCCCTCGCGGTACTTCGCCAAGGGACCCATCGGTGCCGAGGCTGGGCGCCCACGGGCGGGTGCATGGCGGTGACGGGTTTTGCACCAGTGCTGGGGAACATCGATGGGTGGAGTCGGTTGAGTGAGAGTTCATGCGATCCACCAAGCTTTGCGTGTTTCTTACACTACTGTTCCCCACTTCGACTTACTTGGAGGTTCCATTTCCCGGGAGGCGCAGCGGCAACACGACACCAGCGCCGTGTCGGAAAGTTCCCTCGAAACCTCCAAGTACCTCCAGGTGGAAGGGATGTACATGTATGTACACTTTGCCCAAAGAATCTACCCTCAAAGGTGAAGGTTTAAGTTCAGGTCCAAACCCCCGTGAAAGGTATAGGATCAATACATGTCAAGACCCTCGAGGGTCGGTGAGTCCAATGGGGTAGGATGACTCAAAGAACTTGATCACAGTATATGGAAGTTTCATTTTTGTCTATACAATAGAGTTGTTTCCAACAATTTGCACTTTGTTTACTATACTATTGTTGGGTGATTGCCACAATTTATAACTCTATTACAGCTATATGATAGTGGCACATATATAATCCCTTGTGAGACGACTCTCAACAACTGCAGATGAACTTTCACGGAAGCATGAATTTCGGTCTTGGGAGGAGTTTCAGGACCCTCCGCCTCGCATCCATGCACTGTGCGCAGTCCAAACACCGAAAAGCACACAAACCCATGGCTTGTGGCATTGGATGTCCAGAGTGCAGGGGTGTGGTTCTCCGCAGTACATCACGTGTCACTTGGCCCTAGGATTCGTGACCCAGCATTGATTGAACGTGTCGCATCCTGAACAACCATTGTCCATTGTTTTATGATTTCAGACTACAACACCAGGTCAACCTTAAGTTTAGACATGTTTAGAATAAAATAGTGACCCTGAATTCCAAGCACCTGGTCAGATGGGATCCTCCTAAAACCTGGACCTGGCCATTGGAGAGGCCCGCATCCACGTGGATCCATACACTCATGACGCATCATGATGCCTCAAAACCACCCCAGCATGGAACTCCTTGGTGGACAGTTGGGGACGTTCTGCACTTCAGTTAGGATGTCTTCCAACGACGCTCCGAACCCATCACGTGTCAATTGGCAACATCCGCTGGGTCGATAGCAGCGCGATGTGTCAACACGAAGGTATGAAGATGGCCATGGCCACCGTTTGCACGGTCAGGTTGGGCAGTTCGATGATGAGAAGAGAGACCAGATGGATATGGTCGAGCTTTGCATGATTTGGAAGAGAGGGGATGGGCCCAAAAGTTCAGATCTGCAAGATTCATGTGGTTGTCAGTGCAGGTCCCTCAAGTAGTCTCTAAAATCATTGCATGGGTTCAACTGTCAACCAAACTGGTAGTGTACATCACCGTTAAAACTATAACCACATGCCGGACACCATGCGATTACTGAATGTCCCCAAAGTGAAGACTAGTCTGTTGTGTGACCGTTTGTTTATTTTTGTTTTTTGTTGTTTTTTCGTGAACATCGACATGATGATGCCAAGGGCCAAGATCATCAGACCTGTTGGGGATCAAGTCTTAACATGCCTCAACATGTCTCAACACTCAAGAACTCAACGACAGGAAATTATGTTGCATGGAGAGAAGCATCTTTGACATCTGCCATGGAGACCCTGATGTATCATGTTGCCAGGACTACTACCGAGGGTCTGCCGGCGCAGCAGGGAGCAGCTCCAATGGCTATGGGTGAAGCACTAAGACTCCACAGATTACGACAGCAGCGCTGATGACTTTGGAGGGAACCGAACCCACGTGGTGCCTACACTTGGTTGACCGCCAATCAATACTTGAACCATGAGTCTGGCGCTACAATATACATACCGTACCACGTTTGGTATGTATGGTCGAGGCACATGAAGAACAGACGATAGTTGACCAGGTGAAGCCCTCCAGTCTTGGAGGTCCTGATTTTTCCACTGCTAGGCCCAACGGCATCCGGGCCAACTGCACCCAAAGGCCTCAGATTTAGAACTATAACTGTTAACTCCTGACACAGCAGACTTCCTTTGAGGGGGTCCATGTGAATATCATGAGGTCTTTAAAGGGGACTAACTCCTGGTTGATTTTGAACAAGCACAGCAACATTAACAGGAAGCTTCTTTGGTTTGCGGATTGGGTAGTGATTGTTTTCCTGAACAGGGGAAATCCCTGAGAATCACCAAAACTGGGGAGGGTGTTCGAATCCGCAAATCCAAGGAGTTCTTGGGGATTGTCCAAGCTGGTCAGGAATTCGGAGTAGGCTTTTGTTCCGTTCCGCCCGACCCGACGGAAAACAAGCCGACTTGCATTGACCACGATACCTTTTTCATTGGTTTGTAGTAATTAGACTACTTTAGAAGACAGGGTATGCACCATGGGGATCCTTCAACGAGATAGCATTTTTGCATATTTTTACATGTCATATTATCACTTGGTTTTGCTTGATCGGTGATTTTACTTTCCCCATGGGTGCATCCCATTATGGGGATTTCCGGTTCGTTAAGCGGATCATGTAAAGACTTTGTTTGTCAGAACGAAAGGCCTTCAACACAATGCATGGATAGAGCATCCTTCCATTCAGCATGCCCCTACTCCCCTGCAGTTTGTATTTGTATTTAATGGTTTTTGGATATTTACTGCAGTTTCTGCAGCGAATCTTAGAATGACCTGCTTTATGACCATACACCAGCAGACTCACTGATGCCAATAAATATGCCAACTTGGAGGGTCCCTAAATGAACGATTTCATGTTGCTAGTGGGCCAAATGTCGCCCAAAACTCAGATGCCTCCCAGCCTATACACCAGTGAGCCTGCCCAGGAAAAGTGGATCACCTGCTTTCATCATGTTGGAGAAATTGGGGACGCTGCGACGCTGCGCAGACACCCCACTCCAAATGAACGGTTGTTACTGGATAGTTTGGTTCACAAGTTTTCCAGGCAAGTTCGGCTCGGCAGTCAGTGAGGCTTAGGGGACACAGGATAAAGTCGAGTTCCGCAACTGCGCAGGATTCCGCAACTAGGATTCCGCAACTGTTTGGTCGGATTCCGCAACTAGGATTCCGCAACTGGGATTCCGAAACTAGGATTCCGCAACTAGGATTCCGCAACTAGAATTCCGCAACTAGGATTCCGCAACTAGGATTCCGAAACTAGGATTCCGCAACTGTCAAGATTCCGCAACTAGGATTCTGCAACTGGGATTCCGCAACTGGCATTCCGCAACTAGGATTCCGCAACATTGTGGACTCCCTCACTAGGATTCCGCAACTTTGTGAATGATGAGGGATGTCGAGATCACACGATGGGGACAAGGGGGGGTTGGGGTTGGGGGGGTTGGGTGGGGGGCTAATGACGTTGGTTTGGATGTGCTTCGAAGGTGATGTCACAGGCACACACGCTATCGCATGATGTGGAGATCACCAGTTGCAAGTTTCAGAAGGCAAGTTGCAGAATTCAGAATCTGACTTTCCAGTTTCAGAATACCAGTTGCAGAATCTGACTTTCCAGTTTCAGAATACCAGTTGCAGAATCTGACTTTCCAGTTTCAGAATACCAGTTGCAGAATCTGACTTTCCAGTTTCAGAATACAAGTTTCCAGAATCCCAGTTTCAGAATCCTAGTTTCAGAACCCCAGTTTCAGAATCCTAGTTTCAGAACACCAGTTTCAGAACACCAGTTTCAGAATCCAAGTTTCAGAACCCCAGTTTCAGAATCCTAGTTTCAGAACACCAGTTTCAGAACACCAGTTTCAGAATCCAAGTTTCAGAACCCTAGTTTCAGAACCCCAGTTTCAGAACCCTAGTTTCAGAATCCAAGTTTCAGAACCCCAGTTTCAGAATCCTAGTTTCGGAACACCAGTTTCAGAATACCAGTTTCAGAATCCAAGTTTCAGAACCCTAGTTTCAGAACCCCAGTTTCAGAACCTTAGTTTCAGAATCCGACCGATTAGTTTCCGAATCCGGCTCTAACCAGGGGACACACTCTGAGCCAACATAGAAGTGGTGGAAACCACCTGTTTCCGAAGATTTCATGGTCATCCTTATGGGGCGGACTCTGAGTATCTCATGTCTTCATGTGCCGAGCTGACTCTGAGAGTTGGGACGAAAATATGGACTCACAGACTCTGTAGGTTAGCAGCTAGAGTCCCCTCACCAACGACAGTGTCTAATGGTGGAAGCGCCGGTCAGAACACCAAATGCCGGGAGCTAGCGGGCTTGAACACATGTTTCACGGTTTTCACTGACAGTGCACACACCAAGTTTGCAATTGCACGTTGTGCCCATGTGATTGAGGCCTGGTATGGCTTGGGCGCCCAGACAACCTCTGGGAAAGCTGGGATGTGCGCAAAACTTGTTCTGAAAGAGACCTTGATGTTCTTTTTTGTTTCTTGGTAAGTCAATAGATGCGAAGAAGGAATGTAGAAGAGAGTGGCTCCTAAACTTTGGAGCCGTCGAAGTCCCTTCGTTTTGTCAAATCGGGATTTGCCCTGAAAACCTCGTATTGATGGAAGCTATAGGCGTTTCTCCAGGTACTGATAACGGCCAATCTAGTGCCTGCCACAGTGCACCTTCCCTTAAACAAAGTGATGGATGGGTTTAACCTTGGTGCCACGTATTTGAGTGTTTGGACCACCCACCACGTTCACCGTTGAGTTTCAAAGAAGCATTCATTGGATCCGTGTAAGCAGAGGTCAAGCAAAGGCTTGCGACAAGTTGAGACTGTTGACCCCGGAAGCTTGTGGTTTCAGCCCAGCAGCAAACTGCTCCAACACGGCACCACCTGCTGCTTTGAATTTTCAGAAGAGACCTGTGAGCTTGGTGTTTGAAAACACGGAACATGGTTCCCGGTTCTCGATCGGCATTAGCTGTTTTTGCTGCTGAGCTCTTTGGCTCCATGAAACATTTGAGGCACCCAGCCATCTGACTTATAGATTGGGGGAAAATCCCGTTGCTTGGCATTGAAACTTCACTTGGACAGGATGAGCCTGAACTCGAACTTCAATAATTCCTATTCTTGCCTTAACGTACCAATAGT